CTAACGGTCACAGCCAAAACATAAATGAGATCAGAAGGGCAGTTTCAAAGAAAGATGCTGATGGAGCAGAGCTTCAATATGTGTGAATAAATCTGCAAAGCAGACAATTTAGAATCTACTGTTTCTTTATTCTTCACATATTTCCTTGCATCTCTACAATAGGACCAAAGACTGACCTCAAATGGTAAAATGTACTCAATAGCTTCCAATCAAATTTGGAATAATTTTTGAGCTTAATTTCATGTGTTAGTGCTTCATGAGAGACAGGAGCTCCACAAAGCATATGAAGAACATATTCCAAATAACAGTATTAACAATAAACCTTGGAGCACTGCTATAGCTCACGGTACTATAACAGAGGGTTGATAGGCAATATATGTTTATTAGGTGAATAAATACACATGGAAAATTAGTGTACTTGACTCACTGATTTCTCATTTCCATTCTAACAGTGTGGAGAGAGCAAGCCTCATCTCTAATAGTATCCTGATAGTACTAGATGCCAGGCAGAATTAATAGAACCGGTAAACCAGTTCTATTTCTGGGAAAGAATGTACAGGTTGAGGGTAGCAGATCTCTAAAGGAAGTTATCTTTATGGTTTAGACAAATTCTCCCATCTCTGAACTCTACTTCATCTATATATACCATATGGATATCAGCTTTAAATCAAAGCATTTAGAATTCATTGTAGTGTTTTATAACCAAAACAATTTCAATTAATGGCTTCCATGGAATTTAAGACAGGAGGGTCTGCATGTAGAGACTAAAACATACATCATATCTTTATTCTAAGATATAAAAAAGGATCCTATGGAAATTTACATCATGTAGGCTTTATGCTAAAGTTACAGAGGAGAGTGAAAAGAAAAATCAAAGACTAAAAATTTAGAATGAAGTCTAGCAGGTTTTGATTTCCATAGACTTCCAAAACCTACAGGGAGTCTGTCACAATAAAAGCATCTTTGTTTTTAAAACAATAATCAGCAAGAATAAATCAAAGTACATGATATTTATGAGTATAGGTACAGTTTTGTTTAATGTGGTTGATAATGTTATAGCAACTGAAACATTCATAAATTATTGGATGGTGCAACATTCTTTAAAAAGCCTTTTTTTTTTGGTGAGAAAAATTTATTACATTTAGAATTAGCCCGCTGGACTCAGTTTAGATGATCCCAATTTTGTTGGCAACATCCAAAGCATCATAATCAGGAGCAAGTCGAACATAGGCCTTCTTCTCTCCATCAGGCCTAATCAAAGTGTTGACCTTAGCCACATCAATGTCATAGAGCTTCTTTACAGCTTGTTTAATTTGGTGCTTATTGGCCTTGACATCCACAATGAACACAAGTGTGTTATCTTCTATCTTCTTCATAGCTGACTCAGTGGTCAGGGGAAATTTGATGATGGCATAGTGGTCAAGCTTGTTTCTCCTGGGAGCGCTCTTCCAGGGGTATTTGGGCTGCCGTTGGAGTCTCAGCCTCTTAGGCCACCGGAACCTGGGTGACGTGCGGATCTTCTTTTTTTTTTGGCTGTGGATGCCCTTCAGGACTGCCTTCTTGGCCTTCAATGCCTTTGCTTTGGCTTCAGTTTTGGGAGGGGCAGGGGCTTCCTTCTTCGCTTTTGGCACCATCTTCGTAGAAAGGCTTTAAAAGCTTTTTAAATTTAGATAGCTAGATTCTCAAAAAGAGCTCTGGTAGCTTACTGGTAAGGAATAGTGTTGCTAATCCAAAGGCTTCTGGTTCAAATCCACAAGCTTCTCCATGGAGAAAGATAGGAAGCTCATTCCATGTGACATATTGCCTCAGAAAACCCACTCAGGATCAATGAGTCAGTTATGACTCAATGACACATACCAACAATATCATCTCAAAACTTAACTCACCACCACTGATTTGGTTCTCACTCAGCAACCCTCCATCAAGTTTCAAAAGCTATCCATTGTAATAGAAGGAGATGGTCCATCTTTCTCCCCTCAGAGCTGCTGATGGACTTAAACTACCAGAGATGCACAGCTTTCGGGCTAGCAGCACAACTCACTATGGACACTACCACCAGAACTGTTTACAGTTACATTAGCAACTTTTAGACTCATAGAACATATATTTCATAAAACAAATACTAGAGCACAGAACCAGATGTCAGGAGCCAGAGGAGCATACAGATACATACACATATATCACAAACACACACATTCACACACATTGTATACATATATTGGATCTACATACAGCCCTGTTTAGCTAGCCCACATTGCCCTTTAAATATTCATCAATTTTATTTGGGAAGGGGAAAGTTCCTTTTAATTCAAATTCTCAGAGTTCCCACTCTAAGCCATACATAAAGAATATAACAACAAACTCTTTGAACTACTCTTAATATAACTAAGGGGGGGAAATCAAAATAAATTGGTTGAGAAATTGTGGTGTCAAGGGTTCACTTTTTCAAACGGCTTTTCTATCCCTTGATATCCTGAGACTCCATGCTACTAAAGCTCAGCTAGTTGGTCAAAATATGGCTATTCTATCAATTTTGGGAAAATTGCTTTTACTAAATATTGTTAAACTGAGTGGGTGTAGTCTACCCTGAAACTAGTGTTGATTGGGCCTACTAAATGGGAGAAAGAACTGTTTAAAATATGATTAGGTATTATTGTCAAGACATGAGTCCATAACGGAGGCTGCATAGTGGAGTGGACTTGGATGGAGGGATTGTGTAACAATGAAAGATTTTTTTTTTTTTTTACTTTTCAAAGAGAAGAATGAACTGGAGGGGCAGGGTGGGCAGGGAGAAAAGTGCAACAAGAATGAATGGAAATCCAAAATCTCTGTAAATTTTCATTAAAATTAAAAATAATGTTTTAGGGACTCTGGGGGCTTTCTCTCTCCACTTGCTTGGGCATTCTACTAGGCTAAGCCAGTTGCCAGATACTACCAACAGCTGAGTAGTTTCTTTGGGACCTTCCAGTGAATTGCTGAGCACAAAACACAGAGAGTAAGTTTGGGGTTTGAAGGAGGAGGAGAAACAGTCAATGTTGAAAATGATGAAGTGGTTTAACAGAATGAACTTCGGGACATTGCTGGTCTCCCTTTTTAGTGGTTAATTTGGCATTGGTTTTTGTGAAGCTCAGAATTCAAAAGAAAACAAATTATAATGTTTATTTGACTACTTGGGCCCAGAATGATATTCTAAAGAGTGAGTCTCATAATAGCACATCCCTGTACAAATTTTCAATAACTTCTGGCTGTCTTCAAAATAAATACCTAATTTTCTTAAAATAATTTTGAAAGCTTCCCATCTTTGTGATCTGATGCTATGCTGTTAAGGATTTATTGTTCAAAATGGCTTCCCTAGCCACTGACTTTAACGGCCATGTAAATGAGCAAATAGTGTATGCTAGCCTGTCCACAAAGAGACTGGCTAGTCTCTCCCCTAAATTGAGCAAATTCAGTGGTAGATTTTGAGAATTTCACCACCAGCAAAGAAGAAGGAAGAGAATACAGGGCACCCGGTGGGGCCAGAGATTCTTGTGCCAGTCAGACCTACAGCAGCAGTAGCTAAAGCCACAGCAGAGACCCAGAGACCGGATATGAGACAGAACTGATCTTGGAACTGCTACTTCACGGAATCAGAACTAAGAGCCTGTTGCCCAAGTTTTTTTGAAGGCTGGGCAGGAAAAGCTACAACTGGCAGGACTAAGAGGAAGACATCAAACGAGATGGACTGACAAAATTACTGTGGCATTGAGAGCAGGTGTGTCAGAGATGGTGAAGGTGACTGAGGATAGAGTAAGGTTCAAAGCTATGGTTAATAGGGCCACTATGAGTCATAGTTGACTCCACATAACAACAAGGGCTCTGTAACACTTGCCTAAAGCCATGAGGCTGAAGGCCGGGGTGCCAGTGAGCACATTTCAGAAGCTTCCCTGAGTGATTGTATCTGCTACCAATCTGAATGACTAATATGGTTCTGTGTGGTTTATGAGCTATCACAATGGATTTCTGACCCACTAGAGGAGTAAGATTAGTTAGTGTCGGGATGAATGGAAAGAGGTGTGGGAGGCTAGGAGACATGTCTGACCTCATAGGAACTAGTTTTGTAATGTTGATGGGGACAGTTCCCCTCTGTGGAGTTGATAAAGGTCGGATATGCCTGTCTTCATGTGACCTTTATACAAACGCTCATTGCTCTTTATACAAATGCCCACTCGTGTTAAATTCTGAATCCTGATTTCTAGAACCGTTTTCTCCAGTTACATATATCTGGATATTTGAGATTCCACTCCTTCTGTCTAGAAGATGGTGACCTAGTAGTGAGGAGTTGTGCTGCCAACCCAAAGGTAGGAAGTTTGAATCCACCATCTGCTCTATTGAAAAAAGATAGATGATCTCCTTCCATTCAATTTATAGTCTCTGAAAATCCTCTGGCGGGTTAGCTATGAGTTGGTTCTGACTCCATGATATGTAAAAACTGTCTAGAATACTATTTTAAGTCTCTGTTCACCAGTCTAATCCTCCTCAAGCCTCAGGTCAGAGTCACATTTTCTGGAAGGTCTTCCCAGGTTGAATCAAATGTTCTTTCTCTGTGCTCCAGTAAAATCATATAGATCTGCTGCAAAATGGTCTGGATGTCTATTCATTTGTCCCTATTCCCACTAGATTCTCAGCTCTTTGAAAGTAGAAACCATATCATGATCATCATTATTTTAGTAGCAAACAGTGCTGGCACATAGTTAGAGCTCAATAAATATTTATTAAATAATTGAATAAAGAGCGGTAAGTCAAGTTAGTGTCAATATCTATGGTACTCTTGTAGACTACTCTGTGTGAGTCCCTTCTGGCCACAGCCCTGTCCACGTGATGAACACCCTGGCCTTTGTCACTACAGTTAGATTCAAGGCCTGCTTATTTACCCACAAAGAATTCCCATACAACTCTGAACTAAAATGCACACAGATGATAACTGACAAAGCATTACTTGGCTTCAATGGGGTACTCACTTCCTTTGTCTCCTCAGAGAAAGCTTGCAGAATGTCTGTCTGTCTGGTGTAGTTCCCATTGGCGTCCTGCAGACCTTGTAGAATGCGCTCCCGTAGGACCAGCACCGAGACTCGGAGCTGGTGCCAGAGGAGCTGCACTGCGTGGATGTCCACTATCACGTTGACTGAGTAAGATAGCAGCTTTAGGGAGAACTCCGTTTCCAGAAGGGCATGGATTTGCTCAACATGATCAGAAATATCTTCACAAATGTCCTACAGGAAAGAAAAGCAAAACACGTAAGGACTACCTTGTCATATCCTGAGAGGTTAAGAAAGGTTATTCCTTCAGCTGACATCAATTATCTGAGTTTAAATCACCAGTAGTTCGGACTGGCACATGTTGGACTCTTGGCCTTAGTTTTAGATACACAGTTGCAAGCAATATTTCCAGGGACTAGACCTTTGATTGCACACCGGTAAACTGATCTTTTTCTAAAGCACAAAACTCCTGCCATTCTTTCAGATGCCCAGGAAGAAAGTTCAGCCAAGGTAGCAGGTGCACCTCACAAATACATTCTCTGTTCTCTTTGTTTGGGATTCTTGCAAGGGAGTCAACAGTTGCTGTTCTGTGAACATACACCATTGAGTGGAGGGTAAGAGTGTGTGTTTCATAGGAATACCCAGTCATTTTCCGTCATGGAGTCCTGAGGGTAAGAGACAATCACCTCTCTCCTACCGGGACACAAACTAATACTTAGATTCACAACAAGTACCTAAATATGTAACCAACACTTTGCAAGCAGAAACACTTATGCAAAGCCATAAAAGTGTCCAGAGTCAAGGATAAAATACTTCTTTTGCTTTATCAGAGTTGGGTATTTTTAATAAAAACATAGTACTAACTCAAATTTTCCATCTTCTTGACAAGTATTATTAGGTAAAAAAACCTGGCTCCTCATATGTCATATTTTCCTACAAGTCCTCAAATTTCCATTGTGTGGGCAGAGTCCGGTAGTATAAAATGCACAGCATCAACAGTGGTTTTTACTTGCACAATCTAAAAATCCATTAAGCATCAAAATAATGTAGGTGTTAGCTAAGTGTTCAACTTCTCATATTTACTTTTGCATCAGTGACAGAGAAAACTGGGATTGTAGGACAGTTTTATTTCTGACTTTTGGTAAGGCTTTGTCCTAAGAAAGCGGTTTTGTGTTTTGTGTCCTATAATAAGTGTCAAAACAGTCATCCTATGTTGAAGTAAGTAACCTTCTGTTTTCATGCAATTCTGTTGTGTTTTTTTTTTTTTAAAGAAAAGCTTGAAGGGAAAAGTCTGTTCAGTGATGGAAAGTTATGTTGAATTTTGAATAACAATTATTGTATAATTCCAATAAATGTAGGGAGCTCTGATGTTTTAGTGGTAAGAAGCTGCACTATCAACCTAACATGGTTCTAATACACCAGTTGCTCCATGGGAGAAATACAGGCAATCAACTCCTGTGTAATTTACTGCCTCTGAAAATCTACTGGAGGGTCAGCTATGGATCAATTTATACTTGATGGTACTCAACAAACCACAACATGCTAGTTCTTAAAACCTAAGAACTAAGTGGTGATATTAATATAAATTGAAAATAATAATTAGATTAAAATTGGACTTGAATGGAGGACTAGTATGTTCTTCCAAATGTGACCCATGAGCCAACAGAGTTCAAAGGAGATTTGAGGCAAAGTGATATTATTTTAAACCAGTATGTAGTAAAACTAGTATTAGCCAGGATCAAGTTGCCTGATTTTGTCCTGAGTTTTAGTTGGACAAAAAAAAAAAAAAAAAAAAAAGCAAGCAGGACAAAAAAAACAGGCCTCTAATTACTAAATTAACTAACTCATTAGTTGCAATTCATTGAGTCAGAACCAACTCATAGCTGACACTCCAGCTGGTTTCAGAGACTAAATTTTATGGGAGGAGATTGTTCCTCTTTCTCCAACAGAGTTTCTGGGGGATTCAAACCACTTGCCTTTGGTTTGACAATGTAAAGCCTTTCCCACTAGGCCACTAGAATTCTTATTGCTACTATCAGATAGTCTGTTCATTCATTCTTTCTCTCTCTCATCTCTCATCTATCTATATCTCTATTATCTATCTGTATACTTCCTGTCTTTTTAGGGTGTTGATTTCCATGTTGTTCTATGTCTCCCTCTTTCAATGATTATCCCTACAAAATTTGTTTTACTTTACTTAATGATACCCCAATTCTACTAGATTTTTTTTTTTTTACTTTATAGAATGCTCCATCTATCTCCTACTCTTATCCAAACCTAACTCTGTCCAAGATCACTCTTTCCACTCTTGCCAGGAGAGGCTGCTCTTTCTCTCTGTCCTCACCAGGGAGTTCGGAGAAGGGCTGATGGTGTCTTTTTACTTCTTTGCCACTTACAGATAATTACTCCTCCTTTCATTTATATCAATAGCCTTCTTTCTCTTAAGGTCCCTACTGTCCACAATACCTTCTGTCCCTCATTACTGTTTCTTATAAAGTTCACAGTCTTCAGGCTGTGAACAAGATCTGTTCCTAAGTGTGTTTTAAGTCTAAGTAAGTCTTTAATTTGTATATAAGTCAGAATGGCACATATGGTTCTTACTTAGCTTAACTTTATTGCAAGTTACTGGTTAAAGAATACAGTTGCTACCTATATTGTTAGCAGTTCAAACCCAGAGGCCACTCCGTGAGAGAAAAATGATGTGTCTTGTTCCATAAAGATTTACAGCCTCAGAAACCGTAAGAGGCAGTTCTACTTTGTTCCACAGGATCACCATGAGAGAAGAAATCTACGGGACAGCACTGGATTTTAAGTGCAAGAAAAGGCTCAAAGTCTTTTCCATTTTTTAAAAAGGCTTGTATGCCACAAGTGAAAGTGAATGTGATGAAGAATTTGTAGTGAGTAGAGACTAGTTCAATAATTTCAAAGTAAAGGCAATTTCTATAATATTAAGGGGCAAGCAGTAGATGTCATTAAGTGTAAAGTTCATAACCACTGGTACATCCTTCCCCTTCACCGCACATTGAAAACTTTACCTGATTCATAGATTTTCTTTCTACTTTAAGTGTCCCATCATTTTATATAATTTCAATATCCATACTTAGATGAACCTCTCACTGTTCTAGCCTTGAATTTCCTATTCTGTACAACTCTTGAGAGCTTCATGCCCACCCCCTGGGACAGCTCTGCTCAGAACTTTGTCATCACTCCAGCTGCACAGACAGACCCGGAAAGTCCCTGGCACCACCCATGGCTCTCTGTCCAACTTTTATAGTCTCCTTTTCCCACAACAGGGGATCTCTGAGGGCATGGTCTATGAGAAGCTGTGCTCCTAAGCCAAAGATGGTGTCTCTCTAGCCGTTTGAAAGCACTAGCAGCTCCTCGTGAGAAAGATGGGCAATCACCTCCTATTCTATTTACACCCTTGGAAGCCCATGGGAAGGTCAGTTATGAGTTAGTTCTAACTTGACAGCAATGATTTTTCTCAAAATAGGAGCTATTCAAACTTATCCAAATCAATAGTCTCTTCACCTAACACTTTTTTTTTTACCATATGCCATCTGCTCCTAATACAGCATCCATGGTGGTGATCACTTCAACTACTTATTTTTGTCAGTGTTGTTATCTCCCTCACACTATTGATTTCCTAACAATTTCAAGTCGTTAGTCTCTGTATCCTAGTTCCCACTATGATCCTTCTGATGCAAAATACTTTACAAACCTGGCAGGGGAAAAGGCTTGATACCTTTATGTCACCTGCTCAGACTATGCAAATAGGCACATTTCATGAAACTCACTCAGATTCCCTCCCACTGAAGGCACGTGGCCGTGGTACCATAAGAGCTTTACATCAAAAGATATGCCATCCACTCATTTTACACATGATTTGGTTCCTCCATGACAGATACAGGGATATAATCTGAGCTAGGTCATGTTCAAATGCCAGGCAATTATCCAGGAAAACAATTTATAAGATGCACTAAAGCATCAGTGGTGCCAGTTAACTTTGCACATTCTACTCTTATGCACTGAGAAATATAAATTGGCCCTGTTCCCACAGAAGCAGATGGGCCCTGAGGGGAAATAAACAGGGTTTAAAACTAGCTCATTCCAATTTGACATACTGCTGAGAATTTGCATCTTGGAAAGAGGCTTGATAAGATGTAGGGTCAGAGAAGAAGAGGAAGACTTCCAACAAGATGGACTGACAGGATAGTTTAAGCTTTGGGCTCTAGTGTGTCAGAGATGATGAGGATGGCAAAGAATAGAGCAGAGTTCAGGTCAGCTGCTCATAAGGTCACTATGAACTATGAATCATACTTAACTCAAAAGAACCTAACAATAACATCAACAACTGGGCAAGTCTTGCTCTCAAAGTCTGCTCTCTCTAAAATGCTCAAGAGCAATGATGTCAATTTGAAAACTCCTAAGGTGTGCTTGATCTAGGCCATGATCTTCTCAATTATCTGCTATGCGTCAGAGTGCTGTGCAATGAATAAGGATGATGGAAGGTGCCTTTGGTGCTGGAGAAGTACTGAATATTCCATAGATTGCCAAATGAGAAACAAATATTTCTTGGGAAAATATAGCCAGAGTGCTCCTTGGATACAAAGATGATGAATCTTTGTCTATCATACTTTGGACATGTTGCTAGGTGAGACTATTCCTTAGAAAGGGGCATCATGTTTAGCAAGATGAAGGGTCAGTGAAGGAGGCATCAAACGAAGCGGACTGACTCCATGACTACAGCAATGAGCTCACGCGTGTCAGAGTTCCTAGCACAGGATATGGCAGGGTTTAGTCCTGTTGTTCCTAGGGGGGGTCACTGTAAGTTGTACTGGAGTTGAAAGCACCTAACAATAAAGCAGTAATGGATACTGAATCAAAATTAACACTTCAAGAACCATCTGGGGATCTGTTATATTCACCTGGGGATCTTGTTAAAATGTAGATTCTGATTCAGTAAATCAAAGTGGAAATGAAAATTCTCAGCAGTGGATCAAACCAGAACACACTGGTTTGAAGTGCTGGAGTTAAATACCAACACCACAAGTGCTGACCTCACTCTGTGGAGAACGTTTGCAATGTACACGTACAGTCTCAGCTGAAATTCTGAAATTTAATAATGCATAGCATGCTGTAATTTTCCAGAGCTTATAAATTTAATTATTTTTAAGCCTTCTTGTATGCTACCAGCTGTCTGGCTTGACAAAATTTATATGCACACTATATGC